ATGTTTAGCTTCTATATTTGTTACCTAGTTGCTTAGTGTTGCAGCTCAGAGGCCTGCAGCCTCAGGCGGGCAATGTTGGAGTCCTCCGTCACTGGAGCAAGCAAGCCTCATGTTAGTTTCAAGCTGCCTGGCTGTCGGCCGCCATCTTGGCTGGCCGTTAATTTGCATATCACCCTGATTAGCCAATGGGAAGGATAGCGGTCGTAGGCAATTACCATGTTTCTCTTTTATTAGATAGGACTAGAGGCCCTTCCTTCATTCCGTGCCCGCCCACTGGTAGTCAGCGAATGTCATAGCGAGCGATTGAACTCCTGAGGGGATACTTTGCATATTAGCTTTTTATATATATTGTTATAGTTATTCTATTTTGTTATTATTTTTTAATCCCGTACTGTGCCTAATCTGAAAATTAAACTTTATCATGGGTATGTATATATAGGAAAAAAATCATAGTACAGTGGGGCCTTGACTTACGAGTGTCCTGACTAACGAGTTTTTCAAGATACGAGCCGTTTCCCAGCCGATATTTTGCTTTGAGTTGTGAGCTAAAATTCAGGTTACAAGCAAGCTTCAGACAACCCACTGCTAGTTGGCGCAGCGAACTTCACAGTGAACGCCACAACATCAGCCCAGCATCACGTCTCACTCGTTCACTTTAATGATTTGACATACGAGTAATTTGAGTTACGAGCTCCGTCAAGAACGAATTAAACTCGTAAGTCAAGGCCCCACTGTATACATATGGTTTGGTTCTATTTAGCAGTTTCAGGCATCCACTGAGGATCTTGGAAAGTATCCTCTGTGACTAAGGGGGGAATACTGTATAGCACAAAATAATGCCTCCTTGATTCACAACAAAATTCCTCATATTCTTTCTGTTTACCATTCCTCTGCATTGCAAAATGAGCAGGATACCTCACATTATATCACAAACATGGGATCTCCATTACCAGAAAATATAGGGGTCTCTTAGAACACATACACATAATGCCACAAAGCCACAACTACACTAAGCTCCAGCATCCTCTTAAGGAAGGCTTTTAATATATCTGATATTAACATAGATTCATGTATTTCTGAAAACTTTGCATTCTGTAACACTAAAAATATCAAAGCTTATGTGGGGGGAATGGGTCCAGGAGGGCAGAGAGGGGTATATTGGGGCAAATCAGTCAATGTCCCTGGAACTCCGTAACCAAAGCATTAACAAAAACAATGACTGAGACCTCCAGAGATAATTTGGACACCCCAGGCAGTTAAGAGAAGCTGAAACGCTACCTGAAGGATTAATAAAAGGTATTAAAAAAGAGAAAAGTAGAAACAAAGGCTATGGGAGCTAATAAGTGAAGCTTTAAGCCAGTAGGGCTGCTAAAATGGACACAAAAGGAAACGTAAACTGCCACATAAAAATCGCTGCTAGCTCAGGCTGTACCTCTCCAGGAGGGCACCCAAAATCTGTATCTCACAGTGGGGAGAGCCTTTTGTCTCTATAACAGTTTAACTTGACTTTTTAAATTTTCCTGATGAAGGGTAAAATTCCACTCCCATTATTCAGGATCACCCTGTCCAGTTTAGGAAAAATCACATATATAACAACATGCCACCCATGTTATAATAACACT